AGGAGGAGGAGGAGGAGGAGGAGGAAGCAGAGGAGGAGGAGGAGGAGGAGGAGGAGGAGGAGGAGGAAGAGGAAGTGGTGTAGGAGGGTTGGGTGGAGAGGTGGTGGTCCTGGTGTTCCCCCCCGCGATCCGCAGAGGAGCTCCGGGCCTTGTCCGAGACCCTCAAGGTGCTGACGGCGGAGGAGGCACGCGCAACGTTCTCCAGGCCCCTCGGGCTGGAAGATGAGGAGCAGGGGGAGGCGGAGGAGGAGGATGAGGAGGAGGAGGAGGAAACGACACGGTGCAGGCGCTGCTGCAGTAGCTGGTGGGGGGCACATTTCCCCATTTCGGTATTTTCCCTTTCTCTTTCTCTTTCTCTCTTCTGGGCATCCTTGAGCGCGTGCCGTTTAATCGTGCCGTCTGCATGTTTAAGCCAGACTGTTCGGATTGCTTGGCTCGCTGTGTGTGTGTGTGGGTTCACGACCAGTACTTGGGAGCCTTGAGACTGGGGTCCATGCAAACGGGGGCCAGCCAGAGCGGCGGCTCCCGCAGCATCCTGCGGAGCCCGCGCTGCGTCGACGCGGGCTGGCGCGCAGGATCCCTGCGGGAGCTCGCGGGAGAGGCCCTGCGGAGCCCGGGAGGGCCCGGGCCTGCGCCGGCCCGGGCCGCCCCTGCGCCCCCGCGAAGGGGCGCAGGAGCCCGACGCCGCCTCGCGCGGCCCCCCTCTCCAGGGAGCGGTGGCGGGCGGCCCCCCGCGCTCCCAGCGGGGAGGCCCCGCCCGCCCCGCCCCCCCCCTCGGGGAGGCCCCCGCCGCCCCCGCCCCCCCCCCACCCCTTCGGGCTCCCGCTGCCTGCCCGCCTCCCACTGCGCGGCACGCTCGGCGGGCTGCCCGCGGGCTGGCGCTGCGTGGGCCCCCCAGCAGGTCCCAGCACCGTGTGCGGAAGGAAAACACGAGCAGGCACGAGTCATCGCCGATCCCCCGGACAGTCCGGGAAATCTGGGCATGCGGGAGGCAAGGAAATGAGGGGGACTCCTGGGATTCGTGTCTACTCACGCGTGTGCTCCTGGGCCCCAGTCAAGGGTTTTTTGCCTTTCCCAGTCTGTGGACGCTGCCCTCTCGGCGTCCGATTCAAGCGGTGTTGCTGGATACCCGTTGGAAACCTCCATAACAATTCCAAGACGAGCAGCACAAATCCTTCGAATAGTAGGCGGGAGGGGAGAGAGAGAGAGAGAGAGAGAGAGAGGGGGAGAACAAGAACAAAGCAGACAGGAGGACGAGGATGAGTTGGAGGAGGATGTGGAGGAGAAGTAAGCAGTCGCCACCAGCCGGCGGCCCCCATACTGTAGCCCCCATATTGTAACCCCCTGCCCACACATTTCCGGAAGTCGACGCACTTCTTGTTTTTAAGTGGATTGCGTCATGCCGTTGGCCCCCCCCGAACAGAAGAGACATCCGCTGCATGCCGAGCTTCGTGTTTGTCGCAGGTCCGAGGCCACGTGGTGTTGCTATGGGTGGCTCGTTGTAAGGTGTGGCGAGAGCGCACATCTTACATGTTCGGCAGCCTGGAGTTCTCCACGGCATGCGTATCCGTCTCGCCGCCGCTTTGGTGTTCAAAGCTTACACATTGTATGGTAGAGGGGTGCGGTGGGAAGGGTTGAGGTAGGGTTCGGGGAGGAGGAAAGGGAGGAGGAGGAGGAGGAGGAGGGGGAGGAGGAGGAGGCGGAGGAGGAGGAGGAGGAGGAGGAGGAGGAGTCCAGCAGAAGGATGATGGGAGAGGCGGAGGAGGAGCAGGAGAACGAGGAGGAGTAGGATCAGGAGGGACAGTAGGACGAACGAGAGGGAGTCAGGGATGATGCGTATATGGTTACGATGATGATTCATAGAACGAGCGAAGCATCTATACATATACATCCAGACAGAGAAGGAACGAGAGAGAAAGGGAGAGAGGGAGAGACAGCGAGAGAGACGGAGAGAGGGGGAGGGAGAGAGAAAGAGAGAGAGAGAGAGAGCGAGAGCCAGAGAGGCAGACGGAGGCTGGGCCTTGTGGGTGCGTTGACGAGCTCGTGGGGTGCAGGATGGGGAGGAAACAGGAAGAACAGGAGGAGGACGAGGATGAGGAGGTGCAGGAGAAGGAGGAGGACGACGAGACGGAGGAAGAAGAAGAGGACGGTGCCGTTGGAAGTCGTCTGGGGTGTGTTGAGGGGCTTCTTGAGGGTTTCTTGAACGCGTATGTGTGGGAGGTTCTTGGGGAGTTTCTGAGGCGCTCTGGGAGTGTGTTCTTTGCCTCGCACTTCGATTAGTGAGTGTTGCTTCGCATGGCATTGCATTGCTTTGCATGGCACTGTTCTGCAGTGCTGCAGCTCTGGATTCATTGAATCGGAGTGCTTTGCTCATCGCGTTGCCATTATTCTGCATCGTCTTGTTTTGCGTGCCTGTAATGTAGCGCCGTGCATGAGCATTATGTTACGTTGCACCGCCTTGCCAACACATGCAACTCGTGTGGATATCCTGGATTTCATTACAAGTATTCGCTATGCTGTGCACTGCATGTTTGCAGCTCATAGTTATAATGCACTAGGCTGCGTCAGTTTGAGCAGCCTCCCTTTCCGTTGTTTCGCTTAGCCTTGCTCTGTGTTGGAGTTGATTCCAATGCAACACGCAACAACGCAGTTGCAATGCAATGTGTAGCGCTGCTTTGCAAGCCACGACGACGTGAATTAAACCACTTCAACCCAAACCACAAAGCAAATCAAGCCCCGACTCAAATAAGCACAACACAATACTTGAAGTCAGCGGGCGCAAGAGTGCGAAAGCGGTGCAGGCGCCAGTCGGGCTACGAAGCGCAAGCAACACGGCACAACTCAAACCACAACACAGCAAGCCAGCTCAAAAACCCATCCGCGCACATTTGAGCAGAGCAAGGCGAAACACGCCAATCATGAAACTGCAACGCTGTGCCGTCGCAACTCTTTGCGTTGCGTGGACCAGCAAGGCAAGCAATGACGACCCAATTCCAAGTACGGGGCTCAGGGAAACCGAGGCCATCGCAAACGCCCGCGCGTCAGCGGCCCCCCCACCCCCGCGGCCCCGGGGTGCGGCTACGCGTAAGAGTGACCTTTCGCCAGAGTGTTCTTTGGTGCGGGCGCACAGAGGGTGTTCCACCAGCACTGGCTGGTGCGCTGGGACTGCTTGGATTTAACCTCCCCCCGCGGTCCGCATGCAGCCGCGCACCAAAGGTCACTCTTGCCTGGGGTCACTCTTGCGTGTGCTCGAGGGCTGCTCCCAGCCCCGATGGCCGAGCCGGCCCTGGCTGGCGGCGCCGCTGCGGTCTTCGCGCTGAGCGCCGCAGAGCTCGCGGAAGCGCTGCCCGAGGGCGGAGACTTCGCCCACCTCTGGAAGGTCTACGACCGCGCTCCGAAGACGAGGGGCCGTTCGAACGTGGGCGGCCGTTGCGGGCGGCACCTCTTCGAGACCGGGGAGACCCCGGCGCTGATCCGGGCGGTGCTGGACCAGGCCTTCGAGCAGGAGTGCCTGCGGGGTGCCGACCGCGCGGAGCTCTTCGCCAGGGTCCGCGGCTGGGCGCTCGACTACCTGCAGTGCCCCGTGCCGTGGCGGCGCACGCAGCCGCCCGGTCCGGACCAGGGCGACTCGATCGAGTACACCGCGCGGCAGTGCCGCGGCCTCCTCGCGAATGCCTTCCTCGGCAACGTGCTGGATCCGATGGCGGAGTTCAAGGGGAGCGTCGGCGGCCTGGATAGAGGGCCAGATGCGAACCCTAGCCCTACCTCCCACGATTTCTGAGGTGGAGGGTGGGGTTCACTTCGTTCGGGAGCTCCCGAGCAAAGTGAACCCCACCCTCCCCCTCAGAAATCGTGGGGGGTAGGGGTAGGGTTCACGTCTGGCCCCCTACTGGACTTCCTCGCGCACTACCTGGACGGCGCCGAGGGCAAGGTCGGAGTCCAGAAGACCGCCGCCCTGCTGATGTACTTCCGGCGGGGCATGGAGCTGGCAGGGACCGAGGACGACGAGCTCAGAGGAGACACAGGGACCGCCGCCTGCTGCCGACCCCTGAGCAGTGGTACGCCCGAGCATGCCCGTGCCGCCGCCGAGGGGCCGGCCCCCCGATGGATTCTCGGCGGTGGTGGGCCGAGACTCGGGTATAGCCAGGACCCCGGTTCAGGGGAGCCGGTTAGTGATTGGGCCCCGAGGCCCAAGAAATGGACTGGAATCACTAAACCAGGTCTGCCGCAGCTGGTGTTTTGCGGGTGACGGCAATTCTGGTCAGTGGAATGGGACGGGGGGGCGTCCCCGGTACAGATCTTGAAACCAGGTCCCACTAAACCCAGTTCTGCCAACGCCCGAGAGACATGGGGCTGATCCACGACTCTTAGAGGAGGAAGAGGTCCCAATACCGCTGGCCGCCACCCTTCCTTCATTTTTACCTAACAGCGAAGACTGATAGGTTTCTAGTGGTGTCAAAAGAGAGCAGCAGATGACTCCACAGGGGGATCGGGGCGGGACCCGGGGCGGCTGCCGCCGAAGCCCAAATCGCCTGGGACATCCTCGCAAAATCGCTCTTGGCGCTGCTAGAACTCCATTCCCGGCGTACATTTTGGATGCCCGGAGCCAACTGTAGGCCACTTCGTGCTCTTCGACTTCCCAGAACTCCATTCCCGGGCCACATTTTGAATGCCCGGAGCCAACTGTAGGCCACTTCGTGTTCTTCGACTTCCCAGAACTCCATTCCCGGGCCACATTTTGAATGCCCGGAGCCAACTGTAGGCCACTTCGTGCTCTTCGACTTCCCAGAATGCCATTCCCGGGCCACATTTTGAATGCCCGGAGCCAACTGTAGGCCACTTCGTGCTCTTCGACTTCCCAGAATGCCATTCCCGGGCCACATTTTGAATGCCCGGAGCCAACTGTAGGCCACTTCGTGCTCTTCGTGTTCCCAGAACAGCATTCCCAGCCTACACTTTGATTGCCCGGAGCCAACTGTGAGGCTGAGGCTGAGGCAGGCTGAGGCTGAGGCAGGCTGAGGCTGAAGCTGATGCAGGCTGAGGCTGAGGCTGAGGCTGATGCAGGCTGAGGCTTAGACGCTGACGCTGAGGCTGAGGCAGGCTGAGGCTGAGGCTGAGGCCGAGGCAGGCTGAGGCTGAGGCTGAGGCTGAGGCTGAGGCCGAGGCCGAGGCAGGCCGAGGCCGAGGCAGGCTGAGGCTGAGGCTGAGGCACGCCGAGGCAGGCTGAGGCTGAGGCTGAGGCAGGCTGAGGCCTAGGCAGGCTGAGGCTGAGGCTGACGCAGGCTGAGGCCGAGGCTGAGGCTGAGGCTGAGGCTGAGGTTGATGCAAGCCGAGGCTGAGGCTGAGAGGCTGACGCTGAGGCTGAGGCAGGCTGAGGCTGAGGTCTGAGGCGCCGAGGCCAGGCTTGCGGCTTAGGCTGAGGCAAGCCGAGGCTGAGGTGGAGGCCGAGGGGCAGGCTGATGAGGCTGAGGCCGAGGCCGACGGCAGATTGAGGCTGAGGCTGAAGCAGGCTGAGGCTGAGGCAGAGGCAGGCTGAGGCTGAGGCTGAGGCAGGCTGAGGCTGAGGCAGGCTGAGGCTGAGGCTGAGGCTGATGCAGGGTGAGTCTGAGGCAGGCTGAGGCTGAGGCTGAGGCTGCGAGGCAAGCTTGCGGCTGGAGGCTGAGGCTGACTGAGGCTGAGGCTGAGGCCGAGCAGGCTGAGGCTGAGGCTGAGGCAAGCCGAGGCAGGCTGAGGCTGAGGCTGAGGCTTCGAGGCAGGCTGAAATGCTCAGAGGGAGGCCGAGGCAGGCTGAGGCTCTGAGGCGAGGCAGGCTGAGGCTGAGGCCGAGGCAAGCCGAGGCAGGCTGAGGCTGCGACTGCGAGAACAGCAGAATTCTACAACTGGATTCTCACCTAAATCTTAAGGGGAATGCTTCCAGATATGCTTCTACACATCGCTGTTAGGTTGCTTTGCCGGGATAATGTCTCAGCTGTTTGGGCCTCCAGGGAGGCCCTCGTCGCCACCACGGGATTCGCTTCGAAATTCTGGTCCGCACGCACCCCGTGAGAGGTCCGGGGATTAGCGGTATCGGTACGGTGGGGGCGTTCGTTAAGGAACGTGCCCATCAGGCTTCAGACCCTGGAGGGGTCCTTCTCTGATGAGGGCGGCGGTGATATCCATGGCCAAGCCTCGATTGGAATTCCACAGGCCTCCAGACCCTGGATTCTTTATCTAAGGGTTCTTTATCCAATGCTCCCGCCGTACTTGCTGTGGTTTCCCCAGCGACCACGGCCTGGGGATGATCGATCGCTGGAGACTCCTCGGCAGGCGGTGGATATATGGACGCCTTCTTGCCCCTGGAGGGCCGAGATGTGTCCAGATTCGCTACCCTCTGGGGTCCCGTGGCGTCGCTTCCACAGGCGGTGGATATGGATATACAATCAACCCGCATGGCAAGGATGGGCAATCTTCCCCAGGGTACCATTGCATCCTTGCCTCCTCGGTGCATCCTTGGCCACTTTCGTTGGCCGCGCCCCGCTTGATAAGCTTCGAAATGGGATTCCAGGGGCCTTGCATCCTTATCGCGCATCTTTACTATACGGGTTGACGGTATCGCCGCCTCCTAGACCCCCGACAGTAGGATTTTTGCATGACGTCGACCCGCAAAGGTCTCGACCCGTTCCCCGGAACCAGTTGTCCATACGGAGCAGTTGTTTGACGGGCCCGAGGCCCGGCAAGGTTTCCCAGAGTTTGAAGATAGCGAAAGACCGTCCGCCGTGTTGTTTTCATGTTTGGAGGGGGCCTGGGCTCGCAGGTGGTCCCTTTTTCTGCTCTCTGGCGAGCGGCGCGTGGTCTTCGTGCACCAGCGAGGTCAGGGGCAACGATACGGGGGCATAGGCTCAGGGGGGAATGCATCGATCCCCAATCGCGTATTGATCGCCGATATGGGGCCCGATAGCCTCATCCCGCCCAGGAACGCGGGGATTCGCTATCGGGGGTCGCCGATCTGTCGGCGAAGTATCGCCGATTCTAGGTCCATGTCCCCCCCCCTGGAGGGTTCTCCGAAGGGCTTATAGGCGACCCGTCCTCCTCCTCCTCCTCCTCCTCCTCCTCCTCCTCCTCCTCCTCCTCCTCTCCCTCTCCTCCTCCTCATCCTCCTTCCTCCTCCTCTCTCCCCTCCTCCTCCTCCCCCTCCTCCTCCTCCCTCCTCCTCCCTCCTCCTCCTCCTCCTCCTCCTCGTCCTCCTCCTCCTCCTCCTCCTTCTCCTCCTCCTGCTCCTCCCCCTCCTCGGGTCGCCTACTACGGCCCCGGGGGAAACCGTGCACCCCGCCCCTGTGCCAGTCCCCCCTATCGTCAGGATCGTTTTGCCGACGCCTATCCCCATCCCCCGATTCCTCCCATTATCTACCACCCCAGTTGGAGACGACCCCCTCGAAACCCGAAGGACACGGCCCGTACCCCCATCTCGGGGGGTAAATCGGCCAGTGGGGCCCAGGCCACGCCCATGGGGATCAAGTTCTTCGCCGTTGTAGCGCATGGCGGGACGCCAAGCTTCAAAAGAGCAAGCTCAAAGCTCGTGACTTCAGCTTCACCTTGGCTGCTCGAGCTGGAGCTTCGGATTCCGCGTGGGAGCCAAGTGTGGCTTGGGGGCTTGGGGTCGGTGAAGCGATGCTCATATCCCAGACCCTCGACGTCATGATTGTTCATGACGCGACCCCTGGAGGTCCAGACCCATTCCCCGGGACCGGCTTTTCATCCTGAGTCTTGTTCTGACGGTCCCGAGGGCCGGTGAGGACCCGCAGAGGCCGAAACTAGCGAAAAACCTCCCGTCGCGATTTTTGTCACAGCGCGAGGGGGTCAGGGATCGTTGCCCCTCACGAGGGCCGTCGGACGAGGCCTTCCGCAAGCTGCTGTCGGACAGGGCAGGCCTGCCGGCTGCTGGCGGGGTCGGCGGCGGAGGGGCGCTGCGCTTGCACGACAAGGTGATGGAGGCCCCAGAAGGTCGGGCCGGACGAAGGGAGGGAGGAGGGAGGGAGGAGGGAGGGGGGAGGGGGGGAGGGGGGAGGGAGGGGAGGGAGGGAGGGAGGGAGGGAGGGAGGGAGGGAGGGAGGGAGGGAGGGAGGGAGGGAGGGAGGGAGGGAGGGGAGGGAGGAGGAGGAGGAGGAGGAGGAGGAGGAGGAGGAGGAGGAGGAGGAGGAGGATGGGGATGATGGGGGAGGAGGAGGGGGTGGAGGAGGAAGGAGGAGGGAGGACGAGGAAGACGTCCCCCCATCGGCGAGCCGCCGAACTTCGAGTCCGCCCTGCCCCCGGGCCCGACATGGATCGAAGCGTTCGGGTCGGACCAGAGGAGGAGGATGAGGATGAGGAGGAGGAGGAGGAGGAGGAGGAGGACGAGGAGGAGGAGGAGGAGGAGAGGGGAGGAGGAGGAGGAGGAGGAGGAGGAGGAGGAGGAGGAGGAGGAGGAGGAGGAGGAGGAGGAGGAGGAGGAGGAGGAGGAGGAGGAGGAGGAGGGGAGGAGGAGGAGGAGGAGGGAGGGACGAGCGGGGTCCGAGGTTCGAGGTTTCGGGCTCAGGTTTTCGGGCGCTGTCGTTGGCTCGCGGCGGCTTTCCAGCCTCGGGATGCCCTCCGGCAGCCGCGCCCTGCCGAGAGCGCTGCGGAGGTGCTCAGAGCGTCCAGATCGGCCGACGGAGGCCCGAGATCCCAAAGACCAGAGACGACGAGGATCACTAGGAGGTTTTCTCCGAAGGGCTTAGGCGACCCGTCCTCCTCCTCCTCCTCCGCCTTCTCCTCCTCCTCCTCCTCCTCCTCCTCCTCCTCCTCCTTCTCCTCCATTTCCTCCTCCTCCATTCTCCTCCTCCTCTCCTCCATCGCCTCCTCCCCCCCCTTCCACCTCCTCCTCCTCCTCCTCCTCCTCCTCCTCCTCCTCCTCCTCGGGTCGCCTACGGCCCCGGGGGAAACCGTGCAGGATCACTCGGGGGTGATGAGGAGAGGAGGGGGTACAAAATCTGATCTTCTGCGTGTAGCTGGTGTTGGCCCCACCGCAGGGCGCTCTCCTCGATGCATTGGCGCCGAGAGGCGCCGGGGAAACCAGCTGCGTGAGTTGATTCGCTACCCCCCCCCCCTTCGTCCGCCCCGAAAGGCGCCACAGCCTTTGTGAATTTTGCGAATGCCTTCTACGGCGTCGGGTGCTTCATCTCGAGCTGCACGCAGGAGGAGATCCTGCAGATGGCCTGCCCAGAGATGAACGCGGGAATGCTGCACATCGGCAAGATGAAAGACGACGAGGTGGTCAGAGACGGCCTAAGCGACCCCTAGCAAACCATCCCCTTCCGTGACGTCCCCCTCGCCTCGCTCCAGGACGTATGTATGGGGCCAGGGGAAAGCTTGAAAGGCGAGGGTGACGTCACTGAAGGCGCCCCAGGTGGTGGTGGCGCGCAACTGCCGCCGATTCATCGAGTACAGCGGCTACGGGCAAACCTTCGAAGTAGTGGGGCCTTGGGCCAGGGACGCCGTGGTCGACGTCCTAACCATGGACGCGGTCTTCAGCAGGCACTACCGCGAGGAAAGCCAGCTCCGGGACGTCAGGAAGGCCTACACGGCCTTCGCGGCCCACCGCAGCCCCGACGGCTGCTGCCCGCCCCGCCCGCTGCTCCCCGAGGGCGCGGCCGCCGTGAGCTCCGGGCGCTGGGGCTGCGGCTGCTTCGGGGGCGAGCCGGCCCACAAGCTGGCGCAGCAGGTCATCGCTGCCAGGCTGGCGGGCGTGGTGCTGCTCTTCTCGACGTTCGGGTGCCCCGACGGCTGCGACGTGGTCGCCCGGGCGCTGGAGCAGCACCCGTGCACCATCGGGACGCTGTGGCGCTGCGCCCTGAAGGCGCAGGGGGGTGCGGGGCGCTTCGAGCAGGTGCTGGCCGAAGGGCTCGGAGCCGCAACTGCCAGGCCCAGGGAGGCCCCCGAGGCGGAGTCCACCTGCACCACAGCGTGACCGCCGCGGCGCACCCGAGGCGCATTGGCGGCGCGGGTCGGAGGAGGGCCAGCTCAGGCACTGGCTGCTCCCCCGGCGATGAGCACCCCGGAGGCCCAAGAGGAGCGACAAGTTGTTGGGCGGGCCGCCGCTGTGTCTCGGGCAGCTCCGTCCTCTCGAGAGCCCTGCTGCCCGCGGGGTGGCGCTGTCCCCGGGCCGCGCGGCCAGCGGCGCGCCGGCTCTTGCACAGTGGGCGCGGCAGCGCTGCTTGACCGGCGCGACCGAGAGGGAGCAGTCTTGCGAAGCAAAGCAGCACCAGGCCTCGCATGACAAATTGCTCGACGCGGAGGTGTCCATGTGTGTGCAGCTCAATGTTCTAGGCCTCCTACATGGAGTCGGAGTAGATGGGGTCGGAGGATCGCGCCGCATCGCCGATGCACCGACGATGCGGCTCGATGCGGAGCCCGATTTTCTCCCCGCCGACGTCGCCGGTGTCGGCGATGCATCATCGATACATCGGCGATGCATTGGCGATGCGGCGCAATGCTCCGACCCGATCTACTCGGACCTCATCTAGGAGGCCTCTAAATATTTGCACGTACCGTTGTGAGCGTCTGACTGTGAGTGTTTGGATGGGAGCGTGAATGCGAGTGGGCGACGGGTACGACGGCGACGGTGGCTACGAAACGCGAAAACGACGATGGCAGCTCACGGACAGACAGGTGGTGGAGTAGCCCCCCTCCCCTCTCCTTGCTCGTCCTCCTCGTCGTAGCCACTCCTCCTTCGTCCTCATCCTTTCTCCTCCGTCCTCCTTCCTCCTCTTCCTCCTCCTCTTCCTCCTCCTCCTCTCCTCCTCCTCCTCCTCCTCCTCCTCCTCCTCCTCCTCCTCCTCCCTGGCAGCCGTCCTTCTCTGTCATCCTGCATGATCTTCCGTCCGCCTCCTCCTCCTCCTCCTCGTCCTCCCTATTCCTTCGTCCTCACGCCTTCTTTCTTCTCCTTGCAAGTGTCCTCCTCCCTGGCGGCCTCCTCCCCTGTTCGTCCTCTTCCTCCTCGCCGCAGCCCCTCCCTCCTCCTTCCTCCCTTCTCCTTCCTCTCGCGTCTTCCTTCATCTTCCTCCGTCTTCCCTCCTCCTCCCTGACTGCCGTCCTTCTCCCTATGTCGAGGTGGTCATCGGGCTCTGAATGGGCAGGAGTCGGGAGTGCAGAACGAGCGCCCCCCGTTCGAGACGTCTCCACAATCCAGCCGCAAACGGGCGAGTGCAGCCGTCCCTGGCGGCCCCGTCGTGGGGTGCTGTTAGCCAGCGCCTCGATCAAGACAGCCTCGCAATGTTTGTGTTCTGGCCGAGGCGTCCGAGCCACTGGACAGGCAAACCGCTCGAGCCATCCCCACGCTGCGCCGCTGCGAGCGGGCCGCCGAGTGCCTCGCCCCTCGGGGTCCTGAGAAACCAGCGCCCTGTTCAAGGCGTCCTCACAACCTGCTTTGGAATCAGAGGAGTCTCGGCCACCAAACGAAGCAAATCGCTTGAGACATCCCCGCAACCCTGAGCCCCCTTGGGGTGTTGACGCCAGCGCCTCGCTCGAGGCATCCTGGCTAATCTGCTCTTGAAGCCGAGGGGTCCAAGCCACCAAACAGGCAAACCGCCTGACAAATCCCCACAAGCTGGGCTCCTTAAGGTGCTGACGCCAGCAAATCGCGTGAGATATCCTCACAATCTGTTTTGACAGCAGACGAGTCTGATCATCGACACAGGCAAGCCGCATGAGAAATCTACGATCCGGCCGCGAACGGGCCGTAAAATACTCCCTTGGCAGCTACCCCATTGGGAGTTCTGAAACCAGCGCCTCGCTCGGGACATTCTCACGATCTGCTCTGGCAGCTGACGAGTCTGAACACCGAACCAGGCAAGCTTCCTGATACATCCCTACAATCTGGCAACGAACGGGCCCTTGACATACCTGCTGGTGGCTCCCCCTTAAGCGTGCTGAAGCCAGCGCCTCGCTCGGGGCATCCGCACAACCTGTTTGGACAGCAGACGAGTCTTAGCACCGACCCTGGCAAAACGCCTGAGACATGCCCACAATTCGGCCGCGAACTAACCCGTGAAATATCCCCTGGCGGCTCCCCCTTGGTGGGGTGTTGAAGCCAGCGCCTCGCTCGAGACATCCCCACGATCTGCGAGTCTGGGTGCGAGTGTGTCGCAAGCAGGAATGATTCTGAGTTTACATGAGTCTAAGTACGGGAGAGTCTTTTAGTCGAGACCCCCGCTCCCGCCAGGCATCTCCTTTTCAGGAATTGCGTTCTCGCTTGTGACTTTTTCGCAGCTTATTCAGACATCGCGCTATCCACGCTCAGGCACCACGCTCGCGCCAAGGACGCCGTCACACTTTACTTAGGAATCGCGCTTTCGCCGTACTCAGGCATCCCGCTTGAATGTCCCACCCGCCCGACCCGCCCGTCAGAGGATCGCCCGCCCGTCGTGGGCTGCCGCCCGAGACTTCCTTGTGGAATGCGCTTTCGCCTAGGACTTCTTCGAACGTTCGCACTCTTATCTTCCTGCTCCTCCCTCCTCACGGGCCGCCTCCCCCCTTCTTCCGATTCCCTCTCCCTCGCCTCCAACACCTCGCCGAGCAGCACCAGAGGTGTTACATGGCGCTGTTAACCTGTGTTGGAATGGCTGGCGCAAGCTGAAACGCAACTCACGGCACGAATCATCGTCTTCCCTCCCTCTTGCCCCTCTAATCCCTCCCTTCCTCCGATCCCTTCGTCCTCTCTTTTTGTCTTTTCCTTTTCGTTTCCCCGTTTAGGGGCTTCTCCAATTACACGTGGCCAGGAAGGGATATGACCTCCCATAAAGGGGGAACTATCGAAGACGAAGAGGGCGGGTATCTAGGGCTTGGGGTATGCATAGTGAATGACACGCGGGCCGGTAGGAGCGAACAGTCTTGGAATGATTGTTGTTGCTGTTGTTGTTGTTGAACATTATTACTTCTAAAGAATAATTATTGTTGGGACCCCTGGTGCGCGGCCCCCCCGCCGCGCCTAGGCCGCAGCCACGTTTTCATCATTTTCGTGAGGAAGTCTCAGGCAAAACGGGTTGGTCCGGATCCGGTTGTTTTGTTACGGGCGGTTTTCCCTTGCAAAAAATAAGCTAAAGTGGACATTTCTTGTTCTAACATAACCAAACTTCAATAATCCCTTGCAAAAAATAAGGTAAAGTGGACATTCGCGCGCGCAAGACGAAATCCTTCCAAAACCTTAGTTTTCGTAGCGATTTTAACATAAAAACATAAAAAAAAAACCAATGGTTTTTCAAAAAAAAATGTCAAAATTTCATCCCGCGCGCTCTTGCGGATTCGTAGGAAACCCAACACTTTTTCAACATTTCTGTCAAACGGGCTTTTGCGAGCAACTTTTTCAAACTTCTGCAACAACGGTTGCGCACCTGCCAGGGCCATCATCCCTGTCAAATAATACCATGCGGGACACATTCGTTTTTTCTTCGCGCGCGCACGCCGTCGTCGTCGGCCGCGGGGCCCTGAATAGTAGCCACGGTCGTCCGCATGCCACGAAGTGAAGTGTCCGAACGTCATAGGGCGGGAAGCTGGGTGTGGGTGGTGGCGAAGAGTCGTTTGGAAATTTGGTAGAGCTTGAACCGGCCCCCCCACAAAGTGGGGGTATTGCCCGCCTCCTATGAAAACCCTGGCACTGGTGAGAACGGAGTGTCCCACGTGTAATTGTTGTTGTTGTTGTTGTTGTTGTTGTTGTTGTTGTTGTGTCGTTGTCGTTGTTGTTGTTGTTGTCGTCGTCGTCGTCGTCGTCGTCGTCGTCGTCGTCGTCGTTGTTGTTGTTGTTGTTGAACATTATTTATTCTAAAGAATAATTATTGTTGGGCCCCCTGGTGCGCGCCCCCCCTGCGCCGCCTAGGCCGCAGCTACATTTTCATCATTTTCGTGAGGAAGCCTCAGAAAAGAGGGTGTGTACAGGATCCGGTTGTTTTGTTGTAATCCGCTTTCCCTTGCAAAAAACAATAGAAAATGACATTTCTTGTTCTAATATAATCAAATTTCAAGAATCCCTTGCAAAAAATAAGGTAAAGTGGACATTCGCGCGCGCAAGACGAAATCCTTCCAAAACCTTAGTGTTCGCAGCGATTTTAACATAAAAACATCAAAAAACCAATGGTTTTTCAACAAAAAATTGTCAAAATCTCATCCCGCGCGCTCTTGCGGATTCGTAGGAAACCCAACACTTTTTAAACATTTCTGTCAAACGGGCTTTTGCGAGCAACTTTTTCGAACTTCTGCGACAACGGTTGCGCACCTGCCAGGGCCATCATCCCTGTCAAATAATACCATGCGGGACACATTCGTTTTTTCTTCGCGCGCGCACGCCGTCGTCGTCGGCCGCGGGGCCCTGAATAGTAGCCACGGTCGTCCGCATGCCACGAAGTGAAGTGTCCGAACGTCATAGGGCGGGAAGCTGGGTGTGGGTGGTGGCGAAGAGTCGTTTGGAAATTTGGTAGAGCTTGAACCGGCCCCCCCACAAAGTGGGGGTATTGCCCGCCTCCTATGAAAACCCTGGCACTGGTGAGAACGGAGTGTCCCCACGTGCTAGTAATTGTTGTTGTTGTTGCTATTGCTGTTGCTGTTGCTGTTGCTGTTGTTGTTGGTGTTGTTAAACGTCGTTCGCTCGCCGCCGAAGTTTTCTCTTGCCGCCCGCGGCGGCCCCGCTCTTCGGCAGACCGGCGAGGTCCACGCTCAGCCTGCTGCAGGAGTCCTCCCAGCGCACCGAGCGGCGCGCGGCCGCGCGGGAGCGCGCGGCGGAGCGCGCGATGCAGCGCATCGCCCGGGTGGCCAAGGCGGGGTGGCGGCGGTCTTGGCTCCGGGCATCCCGGACGGGGTCGGGGGTCGAAGAAGGAACAGCTACCTTTTGTGTACCTCTGCCGTTCCCCACGTTTCCCCCTGTCTGGGTCCTCCTGGGGGGTCCTCGTCGCCACCGCTGGACTGGCACCGAAGTCCTGGTTCGGACGCACCCCAGCAGAGGTCCGTGGAGTAGCGGTATCGGTACCTCCTGGTTTCCCCAGCAGTAGACGGGTCGCCATGGATCGAAGAAGAAAAAACACAATAGACATACACTTTTGGCGCTCCGCGCGGATTTCTTGGATCGGCGCCTGGGGCCCCCCCGGCGGCACCTCCGGCGCCGCCCCTGGCGCGCTCCGCGTGCCAGGAAGGGGGTCTGGCGGATTCAATAAATCCACGCGGAGCGCCAAAAGTTTTATGTTGGTGCCGATTTTTCTTCTCAAATAGGTCCTGAGGGAAACGGGCCCTGAGGTTTTTCGCAGTAGTAAGTTGCCAGGGGCCCTCCACGGGCGTCCTGGGGGAAGGCACTAGGGTCCAGGACCCGTTTCCCTCGGGACCCGTTTCCACATTGCTACATGGGGTTGGAGTAGATGGGGTCGGAGGACGGGGACGCATCGCCGATGCATCGCCGATGCTTTTCGATGTGGAGCCTGATTATCTCCACGCCAGCGTCGCCCACGCATCGCCGATGTTGACAGTGCATCGCCGATGCATCGGCGATGCGGTGCGATCCTCCGACCCGGACCCCGTCCAGGAGGCTTCCAGTGGTTCGTGGTGGTGGTCGTGGTCGTTGTCCAGGATCGGGGTCCAAGGTGCCGAGGTCTGAGGTTTCTGGGCGCTCTTGGCCCTGCACGGGCCTCTCGGAGGCCTCTCGGGAGCCTCCGCGGAGACCTCTGGAGACCCCCAGAGATCCTCGCCGTCGCCGATCGTCATCGATTGTCCATCGTCGTCTTCATCGTCGTCGTCGTCGTCACCGTCAACGTCGTCGTCGTCGTCAACGTCGTCGTCGTCGTCATCTCCGCCGTCGTTCCTCGTCGTCGTCGTCGTCGTCGCCGCCGCCGCCGCCGTCGTCGGTCGACAACGTGTCGTCGTCCGTTGACGCCAGCGCCGCCGTCACCGCCCACGCCATTATTCGGAGCCAGAGGGCCATAGGTGGGCCCCTTCGTTCAGATCTTTTCGGGCCCGTGGCAGCCTCCCAGGGGCCTCAACCCAAGTCGTCTGCCCATCGCCGGTAGGGCCGTGGGCTCGGCGTCACCCCAACATACCAGTACTATGTGTGCGTCGCCCCCCCCCCCCCAGGGGCGACACGCGCACCGGGACATCTGAAGTATATGCGTCGTGGCAGTCGCTTTCTGGCCACACCGCTTGGGAAACGATGTACTACAAGATGGGTGTACTAAGTGTTCGGGTCCGACGCGCGCCTCCAAGGGGAACGTAGTACTAGTATGTCGTCCCAAGAGAGGTGCCCCCTTCTTGGGGCAGGGGGGTGTGAGTGGCATGGGAGAGGGGGAAGGGGGGGATGTGGAGGGATACGATGAGAAGGGCCGAAGCGGCCTCCCCTTCCGCCCAGATCGCTTCAATCGTTTGATTTAAGCCCAGCTCTCACAACGAAGTTCGCTGGAAGGCTGAGTCCTGTATCGTGCCACCCTGGTCTCATGAACATGATTTTCAATGTCCACGAGGGTTTGCTACGTGCTTCCCCGCTGGCTTGCAAAAGGCGTCCGCGTGCTTGTCAGTGTATCGTAGCATCGCTTCAACGTGCCGAGCGAACGTGCAAGTGAACTGATCATGCTGGAGGCGCCTACCCAGATCAATCCCCAGGTCCATCTGATGATCTCTACGTCTCGTCACAGAGCGGCTGTGCCTTTTCGGGCAATCGGCCCCCAGCCGTGAGATGTGTCCTCCCCCCTTTCTCAGGCGCACAAGAATTGGGCGATGTTGTCGCTCGCAGTCCGTGTGCGGCTCGACTCGTTCACAAAGGTCATCGAGATGATGGACAAGATGACGGCAGAGCTGAAAAAACAGCAGCAGGATGAGTACGAGAAACACGAATTCTGCAAACAGGAGATCGATGAGACGGAAGACCTGATCAAGGTGCACACCAACACCAAAGAAATGTTGGACGAGCAGCATCTTGCCCTCACGGATAAGCTTGCTTCTCTCAACAAGGACATCGATTCGTTGAAGAAGGAGGTGGCCGACATGGAAGTGAGTTTGAAGGACGCAGGCGAGCAGCGCAAGGCTGAAAACGCCCTCTACCAGCAGTCGATCATGGACCAGCGTGCAGCGGTCAACATCTTGAACAAGGCCTCACCTCCCTTGGAATGTTTAGCTTAGCGAGCGAAGCAGGGTTCGCAGACGGGCCGCGAGAACAATGCTGCGAACACATTGCATGAACGCATTCCGGGGAAACCAAAAGGTACCGATATCGTTATTCCCTGGACCTCTCCCAGGGTGCGTTTTGACAAGGATTTTGAGGCGAATCCAGCGGTGGCGACGAGGGCCTCGCAGGAGGCCCAAAAAGAGAGAACACTAAAGAAGGGTAGCTGTATAGGGTACCCTTTCCTCCTCTGATATTCAGACTGGGTAAACAGCGTGTGTGTTGCCTTCGGCAATCCGCTTCGAGGGTCTGTTTCGTGTGGGTATTGGGTTGCCCCGAGGGGCGGGGAGGATCTTGGCAGTCGTCCCCTCATAGCGCGCCCTGCCTTCGTGGAGGCATGAGGCAACTTTTAAATGGAGTGTCTGTGAAGTCGGGCATATCCCTGTGCGGGAGAAAGATCCAAACATAGTTTTCAATAGTATCGGGACGATGTTTTCATTATTTTTGACCATGTCGAAGTTTGTCTTGACTAATTGTTATTTGTCGTGCGAGTTCCGCCTGTGGGGGGACATGCCCGACCTATGTAAATGTAGTGGTCGTTCCCGCAGGGCTCCCGTCCTTGCGCCAGGCTGGCCTGTTCGATGGTCACGCTTGTCCTTCGGCATTCCTCTTCGCCCTCCCTCCTGTTTGGGCAGTGCGCGCAGGGGAGTGTCTTCGAAGTGCCCTCTGGCGCACCAGGTTGCGAGAAACTCCGAGCTATCGCACCCTGCTTGATTGACGGAACTGGCTCGGACTGGGTCTGTTGGTTGTGGCTGGATTGGTTTGCCCCGCGAAGCGCGGGGGTTCGTTCCCTTCTCTTCGCATTCACCGCCATGTGTGTCCGTCCCCTCCTCCTTCAGGCGCTGGAGCGGCTGAAGATGTTCTACTCGAAGGATCCGCGCTCCTGTGATTTCTGCTACCAGATCCGTCCCACCCCCTTTTCTCCTTTCGCTCCTCTCCCTCCAAGCAAAGAGGGGGCAAGTTGAGGAGCGCACGGCAGATTAAGACTAGACCTCGCCATCCCTTGGGGGCTGCGAACTGTGATATTGTCGCCATTGTCGTGGGCTGCCAGGGGGTCCAGCACAGTGAGGTGCTACGCGGATTAGAATGATCCTGAGGTGTTGTTTCCCCCCAGTCTATCCCGCGAGTCGGGCAACGCGCTGGCCTTCCATTCCATGCAGTTTTCACGGCATATTTAGTTCCCTGACACGTCAACATCAGCTGCAAGTTGGAACATTGTCGTGGCCACTAGTTGCAGATGGGCTTGGTGCGTCGCCAGGGTAACTGTTGAATTCCCCGAGGCCCGCACATCGGACCCCCGGACGCCCGCAGTGGGAGCAGAAGCAGCCCACCATGCGCTCAAGAAGAGGAGGTGGAGGAGGAGAATGGGGAGGAAGGAGGAGGGTAAAGAAGATGCTGAGGATAAGTATGATGATGACGCCGATGCTGCTGCTGATGAGGATGATGGTGATGATGATGGTGGTGATGGTAATGATGCTGCTGCTGATGATGATGATGATGATGATGATGATGATGCTGATGATGAGGATGAGGATGCTAATGATGATGATGATGATGATGATGATGATGATGATGATGATGATGATGATGATGATGATGATGATGATGATGATGATGATGATGATGACGATGACGATCGTGGTGCTGATGATGCTGATGAGGATGATGTTGATGCTGATGATGATGCTAATGCTGATGAGGGTAATGGGTGATGATGGTGATGGTGTGATGATGACAATGCTGATGCTGTTGATAATGATGCTGCTGATGATGATGAAGAGGAGGAGGAGGAGGGAGACGAAGCGGAGGAGGAGGAGGATATGGAGGAGGAGGAGGACAAGGAGGAGGACAAGGAGGAGGAGGTGGAGGAGGAGGAGGAGGGGGAGGAGGAGGAGGAGGAGGAGGAGGAGGAGAAGAAGAAGAAGAAGACTAGTAATAATGATAAGGAAAAGTATGGGAGAGAGGAGGAGGAGGAGGTAGAGGATGAGAAGGAAGAGGAGGAGGTGGCGGAGGAGGACGAGGAGAAGGGAGGAGAAGAAGGAGGAGGAGGATGAGGAGGAGGAGGAGGAGTAGCAGATTAGGAGGAGGAGGAGGAGGGATGAGGAGGGACGGGGGAGGACGAAGAGAAGGGAGGAGGAGGAAGAAGGAGGAAGGAGGAGACGTATGAAGGAGGAAGGAGGATGAGGATGAGGATGAGGAGGAGGAGGTGGATAATCATGGGACCTTCCGGCCCCCAGGACGCGACGTTTGTGCAGACTCGACAGGGCGCCGCCGCCGCCGCGCGCGTGCGCGCCCCCTTTCCTGGGGAGATTCCTCTTATAGGAGGAGGAGGAGGAGGAGGAGGAGGAGGAGGAGGAGGAGGAGGAGGAGGAGGAGGAGGAGGAGGAGGAGGAGGAGGGGGAGGGGGAGGAGAGAGGAGGAGGAGGAGGAGGAGGAGGCGGAGGAGGAGGAGGAGGAGGAGGAGGAGGGTCAGGAACTTGGGCCCAGCGTCTCGCGCCGCCGGCTCTGGCCCCCCGCGCTGCGGCGCGAGAGGGCGCCCGCGGCCCGGTGGTGTCCAGGGGGGCCCACGTCCCGAGCCACTCTCGGGGGCGGCCAAGGGGGGGGGGATGACTAGGGGGGGGGTGGATATCATGGCGTGGGCCATGATATTTCCCCTGATTTTGCATTCTCACTTCATTTCGCCTCTATCCACTGATTACCCCTGATTTCCCTGATTTTACATTCTCACTACAATTATTTCCCCTGATTTTACATTCTCACTTTCTCACTTCACTTCATTAGGGGGGGGGGATATCATGGCGCCTCTTCTCATTTCATTACGTCCCTGGCCCCCCCCCCATTGGGCCGCGCACATGCCGCAAGGCCATGATTTGCACCCGCCCCCTCTTGGACGCCCCCCTCTTGGCCGCCCCCGATCTCGGGGGCGGCCAAGGGGGGGGGGGGATGACTAGGGGGGGGGATATCATGTCAGGCGGTCGCAAACATGGATCAAGAGGGGGCGTGGATTAGCGACGGGTCCCGTTTTCATGGGAAATCGCATATTTCCGACGCCGAACGATGCGGCACCGGCCGCATTTTGGGGAGGACACCTCCCCGATCCATGGATTTGGCGACCGCGCGCCAGATCCATGGATCGCTAATCCATGTTTGCGCGCCCCCGATCATGGCGGGGGGCATGATATCTCCCCAAATTCCATGGCGCCTCTTCTTACTTCATCGCGCCCCGGGTCCCCCCCCCCGTGCCGCGCACATGCCGCCGGCCATGACTTGCGCCCCCCCCCTCCTTGGACGCCCCTCTCCTGGCCACCCCTGGCACTCCCGGCCTCCAGCCCCGCGGAGCGGAGCGACACGCCATCGGCCTGCAGGGCGCAGTGTGTCGCCGGCGCCGCCGCCGCGACACGCTGAGCAAAAGCTCCCGACCGTGCAGTCGACCCGCGTGGTGGGGATGGGCAGCCTTCCCACGGGTACCCTTGCATCCTTGCCTCCTCGGCTGCTCGGCTCATCCTTGGCCACTTCCGTCGGCCGCGCCCCGCTCGAGAAGCTTCGAAATGGACCCGCGTGGTGAGGATGGGCAGCCTTCCCACGGGTACCCTTGCATCCTTGCCTCCTCGGCTGCTCGGCTCATCCTTGGCCACTTCCGTCGGCCGCGCCCCGCTCGAGAAGCTTCGAAATGGACCCGCGTGGTGAGGATGGGCAGCCTTCCCACGGGTACCCTTGCATCCTTGCCTCCTCGGCTGCTCGGCTCATCCTTGGCCACTTCCGTCGGCCGCGCCCCGCTCGAGAAGCTTCGAAATGGACCCGCGTGGTGAGGATGGGCAGCCTTCCCACGGGTACCCTTGCATCCTTGCCTCCTCGGCTGCTCGGCTCATCCTTGACCACTTCGTCGGCCGCGCCCCGCTCGAGAAGCTACGAAAATGGACCGACGTGTGAGGATGGGCAGCACTACCCGGGTACCCTTGCATCCTTGCCTCCTCGGCAGCTCGGCTCATCCTTGCCACTTCCGTCGGCGCGCCCCGCTCGATAAGCTTCGAAAAGGGCGTCCCGCGTGTGAAGAAGGGCAGCCTTCCCACGGTTAACGTGCATCCTTGCCTCCTCGGCTGCTCGGCTCATCTTGGCCACTATCCGTCGGCCGCGCCCCTCTCGAGAACTTCTAAATGGACCCGCGTGTGAGGAAGGCAGCCTTCCCAGGGTACCCTTAGCATCCTTGCCTCCTCGCTGCTCGGCTCATCCTTGGCCACTTTCCGTCGCACTCGCCCGCTCGAGAAGCTTCGAAATGGACCCGCGGTGGTGGTGATGGGCTAGCCTTCCCAGGGGTACCTCTTGCATCCTTGCCACCTCCGGCTGCTCGGCTCATCCTTGGCCACTTCCGTCGGCCGCGCCCCGCTCGAGAAGCTTCGAAATGGACCCGCGTGGTGAGGATGGGCAGCCTTCCCACGGGTACCCTTGCATCCTTGCCTCCTCGGCTGCTCGGCTCATCCTTGGCCACTTCCGTCGGCCGCGCCCCGCTCGAGAAGCTTCGAAATGGACCCGCGTGGTGAGGATGGGCAACCTTCCCACGGGTACCCTTGCATCCTTGCCTCCTCGGCTGCTCGGCTCATCCTTGGCCACTTCCGTCGGCCGCGCCCCGCTCGAGAAGCTTCGAAATGGACCCGCGTGGTGAGGATGTGGCAACCTTCCCACGGGTACCCTTGCATCCTTGCCTCCTCGGCTGCTCGGCTCATCCTTGGCCACTTCCGTCGGCCGCGCCCCGCTCGAGAAGCTTCGAAATGGACCCGCGTGGTGAGGATGGGCAACCTTCCCACGGGTACCCTTGCATCCTTGCTCCTGGCTGCTCGGCTCTCCTTGGCCACTTCCGTCGTCGAGAAGCTTCGAAATGGACCCGCTGGTGAGGATGGGCAGCATTCCACGGGTACCTTGATCCTTGCCTCCTCGGTTGCTCGGTATCCTTGGCACTTCAGTCGGCCGCCCCGCTGAGAAGCTCGAAATGGACCCGCGTGGTGAGGATGGGCAACCTTCCCACGGGTACCCTTGCATCCTTGCCTCCTCGGCTGCTCGGCTCATCCTTGGCCACTTCCGTCGGCCGCGCCCCGCTCGAGAAGCTTCGAAATGGACCCGCGTGGTGAGGATGGGCAACCTTCCCACGGGTACCCTTGCATCCTTGCCTCCTCGGCTGCTCGGCTCATCCTTGGCCACTTCCGTCGGCCGCGCCCCGCTCGAGAAGCTTCGAAATGGACCCGCGTGGTGAGGATGGGCAACCTTCCCACGGGTACCCTTGCATCCTTGCCTCCTCGGCTGCTCGGCTCATCCTTGGCCACTTCCGTCGGCCGCGCCCCGCTCGAGAAGCTTCGAAATGGACCCGCGTGGTGAGGATGGGCAACCTTCCCACGGGTACCCTTGCATCCTTGCCTCCTCGGCTGCGCGGCTCATCCTTGGCCACTTCCGTCGGCCGCGCCCCGCTCGAAGAGCTTCGAAAAGGGAACACGCGTGGTGGGGAGGGGCAGATGTTCCCACGGGTACCTTGCATCCTTGCCTCCTCGGCTGCTCGGCTCATCCTTGGCCACTTCCGTCGGCCGCGCCCCGCTCGAGAAGCTTCGAAATGGAACCGCGTGGTGAGGATGGGCAACCTTCCCACGGGTACCCTTGCATCCTTGCCTCCTCGGCTGCTTGGCTCATCCTTGGCCACTTCCGTCGGCCGCGCCCCGCTCGAGAAGCTTCGAAATAGACCCGCGTGGTGAGGATGGGCAACCTTCCCACGGCTACCCTTGCATCCTTGCCTCCTCGGCTGCTCGGCTCATCCTTGGCCACTTCCGTCGGCCGCGCCCCGCTCGAGAAGCTTCGAAATGGACCCGCGTGGTGAGGATGGGCAACCTTCCCACGGCTACCCTTGCCTCCTCGGCTGCTCGGCTCATCCTTGGCCACTTCCGTCGGCCGCGCCCCGCTCGAGAAGCTTCGAAGTGGGCGTCCACGGCCTTTGCATCCTGAGCATCCTGATCGCGCATCCTTGTGATACGGGCCGACTGTATTGCGAAGGCCTTACTTCCTGTGCCGCCGACCCTGGAGGCCACGAATATGGAAACCCTAGGGGGGTGGAGGGGAGGAAGGGTGGAGGAGGCAGTTGAGGGAGCAGGCGGGGGAGAATGATGAGGAGGAGGAGCATGAGAAGGAGGAAGAGGAGCAGGCACAGGAGGGGCACGAAGAGGGAGAGCAACGGTGGAGGTGGAGGTGGAGGAGGAGGCAGGAAACGGGCCGACTGTATTTCGTTCTCGCCCTTCTCCACCGCACCCCTGCACGGACCAGGCCTCTTGGCCCAGGCCACTTGGCCCCACGGCTCCGCACCCGGGCCAGGGTCTCCAGGTCCTCGGTCCTCTCCCCCCCGCCGCTGCTCTCCTCCCCGCTGCTGTTCGCCCGCTCTTGCCTCCTCCTCTGGGGCCCCCTCTCCCGTCTCCTCGCCCGCTCTGTTCCTTCCTCCTCCCCCCCTTCCCTCCATTCTCCACGTCCCCTGTCCCTGGCCTGGGTCGTCTTCCATCAACCCCCCGCCCCTTCTCCCCTCCTCTTCTGCACCCCCCCCTCCGGTCTCGATCCATCCACCCACGGCAGAAGGAGGAGGAGAAGCGAGAGACGGACGGGGGGAAGGGAGAATGGGGCGAGACTGAATCGGCAACTCGCGCAATTGCCAGTTTAGGCGGGGGAGGGGATGGGAGAGGTCAGTGGGTGGATTTGAGTGATCCAGTGTATTTTTATATCGCGTTGGAAATGGCGCTGCACCATGCCAATGCGAAGCTCGCCGCACATTGCAAGAACATTATGAGAGATGTGGTGCACTCTCCTCTGGGGGCTCTTTGGAGGTTGTGGAGGCGCACAAGAAGCGCCACTTGTTGATGAGCCTGCCCTTGAAGCAGCCATTCGTCGAACAGCGAAACACAACGCACCATGGCGCGCAGGCAAAGCACCAGCAAAACAATGTGGCCCGTGCAGGTTATCTCAGAGAGTCTGGGCGCGCATTCTCCCAGAGGGCGAGAGAAACATGAAGGGGAGGCCCCATGCACATCCCCGGAACACATCAGACGATGGCGAGACCAATGAAGATCAAACGACCTCCCTCCTATCTCATTTTTGAGGCGCTGCGAAACAGCTGCGCTGCAATATAGCGCTGCGAGACTGAAGCTCGCAACGGTGATGTGTACGCGGCTAGTGCGCGCAGCAATCGAAATGTTATGCGACCGATGCGCATAACATTTGCCCCTCAAACATGTAAACACAAAAGGGTTTCGTGAGACCCGCGGCACAGATGCGCGTAGCACTTTAACATGTTACGCGCGTCAATCGCTTGACACTTCGTCGTTGTGCGGTTGGTTCGCATAACGCTCCGAAGTACCACGCGAGCGACGCGCGTAACATGTAATGTTCAAAAGTGTAGTAACACAGATCTTGATGCGACCCGCGACAGATGCGCGCAACACTTCATCGTTACGCGGCTGGTGCGCATAACGCTTCGAAATGCTACGCGATTGTTGTGCGTAACATTTCGCGTTGAAGCTCGGGTTTGGTGAGACCTTGGCACAGATGCGCGCAATATTTCGAAGTGTAACGGCCGTCAGGCGCATGACACTTCGTCGTTGCGCGGCTGATGCGTTGCTGCGCGTAACGCTTCGCCCTCAAGCCTGCAATTCAAAGGGGAGCTGGTGCTAAAGAGTCGCGTGACAACGCAGTGTTGTGCGGACCAGTCTAACCATCAAAGTGTTGTTCCTTTTTTTAGGCCAGCGCGTTGGTCGAGGCCACTGCGCGCCATGCTGTGCACTGCTGCGCTTGTGTTAGCTGCATTGTGCCGTTGCGGCGCGCTGGGCAGAGGTGCTGCGCGCTGCTCCTGTGTCGAAGTTTCGGTGTTGGGCAACGCCGCGCGCTGTCCTGGCGCGCCACGTTGTGGGCCAGGCCGCGAAGCGCCTTGCACCCCAGCGATCGCAGCAGCGGGTTTTCGCGCGCGACGTGGAGGGAGTGTTGAGCGGTTATTCTCCACGCCGCGCGTGCGCCGTTTTAGATGTTGACGTTTTAACGCTTCTTTTTGGGTGATTGGAACGCGTGAAGGTATAGGCCTCAGCGAATCACGGGGGCGCGTCGGAGTTTCGCCAGCGCATTTTCATTTCGGCCGCAGATGCGTCACGCCCAGAGGATACACAATGACATGCGAGATGTTGACGGTGCCTGAAAGTGCCACTGCTCACGGGCTAGGTGCATTCACGGACTGAAGAAGCACAAGCCCGCTTGGTGATTGGCGTTCATGCCCGCTCACTGCAAGAGGGCCTTGCAGTTCGATGGTATGCAGGGGTATCGCCGCGGTGTCCCATTTCAGCGTCCTTATGTGTGGGCTGCATCTCGCGCTCTCCCCTCCCATGGGTTTCGCGCGGTACTCCCATGATTGGTCGTGTTGTCACGTCGTATTTTTCCCTACCCCCGTTGATGGCTCGTTTCTCCTTCGCCAGCGTCAACTTCAAGGGAGAGGCCAATCGGCTCAACCCTGCTTGAAGCTCCACCGCAAGACCTTTTTCTCCCAATGTGTTGCCGTTCTGTCTGCTCAGCATGCTTTCGCTATCGGTGGCTGCATCTGCTTCGACGTGTTGGCGCAACGCGGGCACGCTCGATGCATGGGGAATCAAATTTGGCCACGTTGGACATTGCAGCTGACAGCAGGCTCAGAAACCACGCCCCTCGGAACCCATCCCGCGCACCGCTTCTGACACCGCCCTCCCGTCGCACCGCGGCAGAGGCAATCCGCGCGCGGGCTCCAGTAGCCTGGGACACCTGGCGCACGAAGTGCCCAGCAGCACGAGGGGGGGGAAGGAGGCGGAGGGCGGGGGAGGAGAGCACTCACGCGCGCGGAGCACGAGGAGATCTGGCACGAGTGGCCGCGGGCGACCAGCCTTGCGGAGGCGACCTGGCAGTGCACGTGGAGCGGCACCGCGCCCACACCCGGGGGCTGAGGCAAGGGCCGAGGCGCTGGCAGCGCAGACCCAGTCGAATCAGCACGGGAGGAGGAGCGGCGAGCGAACCCACAGCAGCGGGCGGCATCCAGGTGTTCGTCAGGAGGCCGTGGGCGGCAGGTGTTGCTGCACGGGTGCGGCGCCAGCGAGATGCGGGAAGGCCCAAGCGACCACGGGGGCTGGGCCAGCGACCAGTTCACTGCAGCAACATGCTGCGAGATTGCCGTGCTGAGCTGCCGAGACTAGAGCTGCAGGCCTGCCGGCTACAAAGCTGCCGAGGGCTGCAAAGCAGAGCTGGGATACTGCAGGAGTTGCCAGGACAAGGGGTTCAAGGACAAGGACAGGAAAACAGAAGTGGATGCGGCCGGGGGGGAGGATACGGTGCACCAGAAGAGAGGGCGAAGAGGAGAAGCAGGGGTAGGAGCAGGAGACAGAGGAGGAGGACAACAAAAACACCCGCGGCGACCCCCGCGGCGGACGTCGAACGGAGACGGACGACGACGGACGACGGATGACACCCGATGGACGATGACTTCGAAGACGACGACGTCGACGACGGACGACGGGCGGCGAATGACGGACGACGGGCGACGGTCGACGGTCGACCGACGGCCGACGGCCGACGACGAACGACAAACGACCGACAACGGACGACGGACGACGAGCGCGAGGACGACGGACGACAACCACGACGACGACGACAACGACAACGACGACGGACGACGACGACGACGACGACCACGACGACGACGACCACGACGACGACGACGATAACGACGACGACGGACGACGGACGCCCGAAGGACCCACGACCCACGACCGACGACCGACGACGGACGACGGAACACGACGACAACTGCGAGGACGACGACGTCGAAGACGACGACGACGACACACGACGGCTGACGACGACGACGACCAACGACGGACCACTAACGACAGGCGGACGACGACGCCGACGTCGTTGACGACGGACGACGACGACAACGACAACGAACACAACGACGGACGACATTGACGACGACGGCGGACGACCGACGAATGACGGCCGACGACGGACGACGAACGACGGACGACGGACGACGGACGGTTGACGACGACGATTATAGACACGGGTTACGGACGATGGACGACCGACGGCCGACGACCCACGACCGACGACCAACGACCGATACCCGATGACGAAAGACCGAAGACCGACGATACGATCGGACTAGTGTGGGGTGAGGGGTGAGTGTGTAGTAACTTGGGTGGTGGTTGTGTTATTTTTTTGGGGTTGTTTGGTTGTGGGGGGGGGGTGGCAGGGAGGGAGTTGTTGGATCTTCGCGTGTTGTTTTCGTTTTTGCGAATCTCTTATTTTTTTTTTCACTTGTTTTTTTTTTTTTTTTTTTGGATTTTTACTTGCTTTTTTCTTTGCTTTTTCTTTCTGCTGTTTCCTTTCTTTATTGGTTAGTACGACGACATACGACGTACGGACGACGACGATTCGACGTCGGTTGACGACGGACGACGACGACAGCGACGACGACGCTGACGAACAACGACAAAAACGTTTACGACGACAACGGTGGCGGCGACTTTTGTTGTCTGGTTTCTATTTATATATTTGTCTTCTCTCTGTTGTTTGGCGCGTGCTGTTTTGCGATTTTTGCTTTTTGCATTTTTGTTATATCTATTTTATGTTTGTTGTGCGACAGCGACGACGGAAAACGACGGTCACGTTGACGACGGACGCGGACGCTGGGCGACGGTCGACGGACGACGGACGACGTTCGACGCCCGACTGACGACTGACAACCGACGACCGACGACGACAGTCGACGACGGCCGTCGGACGACGGACGACGGACGACAACGACGATGATGACGACGACGACGACCGACGACCGACGACCGACGACCGACCACCGACCACCGACCACCGACGACCGACGACGACGACGGACGACGGACGACGGACGACGGACGGCCCACGACCAAGGACCCACGACCCACGACCGACGACCAATGACCGACGACCGACGACGACAGACGGAAGACGACAACGGCAGTGAGGACGACCACGTCGAAGACGACGACGACGACCACGACGGCGACGACGAAGATGGGCCGACGACGACGACGACAGACGACGGACGACGGCTGACGACGACGACCGACGACCAACGACCGACGACCGACGACGGACGATGGAAGACGGTGGACGACAGCGGGGACGACGACGTTGAAGACGACGACGATGACGACGCCGACGACGACGGGCCTGCGACGACGACGACAGACGACGGCTGACGACGACGACAGTCGACGACGGACCACGGACGACAGACGGGCGACGACGACGCCGACGTCGTTGTCCACGGACGACGACGACAACGACGAAAACGACGGACGACATTGATGACGACGATTGTCGACGTCGACGGACGACAACGACGACGACGACGACGACGACGACGACGACGACGACGACGATGACGACGACGACGACGACGACGACGACGGACGACATTGACGACGACGACGGACGACGACGGACGAACGACGAACGACGACCGACGACGGACGACGAACGACGGACGACGGACGACGGGCGACGGACGACGGACGACGGACGATGGACGTCTGACGGCCGACGACCGACGACCGACGACCGATTCCCGATGACGAACGACCGAAGACCGACGACGGTCGACGGTCGACGACGACGTTAACGTTGACGACGGACGACGACCATGACGGCGACGACGGCGTTGACGACGGTCGACGACGACGGTTGACGTTGTTGACGACGGACGACGACCATGACGGCGACGACGACATTGACGACAACGATAACGACGACGACGACGACGACGGTCGACGGACGACGGCGACGGCGACGACGGACGACGACGGTCACATTAACGTTGGACACGGACGCTGGGCGACGGTCGACGGTCGACGGACGACTGACGACGGTCGACGGTCGACTGACGACCGACGACCGACTACCGACGACGACAGTCGACGACGGACGTCGGACGACGGACGACGGACGACAACGACGATGATGACGACGACGACGACCGACGAATGGCGACCGACGACCGACGGTCGACGACCGACGACCGACGGTCGACGACCGACGACCGACGACCGACGACCGACGACCGACGACCGACGACGACGACGACGACGACAGCGACGACAGCGACGACAGCGAAGGCGACGACCGCGGCGACGACGACGACGACGACGACGACGGACGACAGACGCAGCCCACAACGCGCGAGCGCCGCCCCCAGGCCCGCCCGTCCCCGGCGCCGCGGTGGCGCCTCCGCCGCCCCAGGGCCAGGCCAGCCGGGCGGGCCCTGTTTCGTGGAGGGGCCTGCGCGCAGTTCTTCGATGCAAAGCGGACATGCAGTCGAAACCGATGGTAGGGGTAATCTTCCCCAGGGCACCCTTGCATCCTTGCCGCCTCGGCCCATCACTCACCACGTTCGATGGCCAGTCCCGCTCGGGGAGCCTCGACATGTGCGTACACTGGGCTCGCGTCCTCGCCGCGTATCCTTATCTCTCCAGGCTTATCCTCAGACGGCTCCATGGCCCATGGCAATTTGGAGCCGTCTCGGGGTGGCTTTGGAGGCTCATGGACGCACGGTGGAGTCCATCCTCAGTCAGATGGGGATCCAGAGTGCCATCGTGGATGCCATGTGGGGATCTGTGGGTCTATCTTGGAGCCACCCTGGGCACTACTGGGCGCTATGTAGAACCCCTCGCGGTCTTGACAGCAGCGCGTCCCCCTGGTGTGCAGTCTGTGCTGCTGGAGAGCGCGAGAGAGAGAGAGAGAGAGACAGAGAAAACAACACAGACACAAGTGATCGTCGATTCCCCAGGAAGTACGAGAAACTATGGGAGGTGGGGGGGGCTGGGCAAAGACGGCAGGCGGGGGGCTAGATCATCGAGATCGAAAGAAACCCTAAACCTAAAATCAGGCGATCGCAAACATGGATCAAGGGGGCGTGCATTAGCGACGGGTCCCGTTTCCATGGGAAATCGCGGATTTCCGCCGCCGATCGAGGCGGCACCAGCCGCACTTTGGGGAGGGTACCTCCCCCGATCCGTGGATTTTGCGACCGCGCGCCAGATTCATGGATCGCTAATCCATGTTTGCGCGCCCCCGATAGATCATCGAGAGCAAAATAACCCCCAACCCTAATAACACGATGAAGACGTGGCCTCACTGAGGTCCCTGTATTCGCATTTGGGATCATAATTCTGGGGGCGGTTTGGTTCGATACATTCCTGATGCTTTGGCCCCGCCAAACTCAGGTCCCCTCCCAAAGGGTTAGGGGTCCTTTTTTGCTTAATCAAGAGTTTGGGCCTCCAGACGGGGTCCGAGTCGATGGGGTCGGAGGATCGCGCCGCCGATGCATCGCCTGGGCAGCTCGATGTGGAGCCCGATTTTCTCGACGCCGACGTCGACGATGCATCGCCGACGTTGCCGATGCATCGCCGATGCATCAACAACGCAGCGCCATCCTCCAACCCCATCTACTCGGACCCCATCTTGGAGACCTCTGAAGAGAAATGATGATTTGCGTTAGGTCGGTCGACTGGGGCAGGTGGAGGTTTTAACACCCCAGCGCCATTGGTCGAAAGAAGCCCGATCTTTTCAATGACGTCTGTCTCGAGGCGCTTTTTCAGCGAGGCTACGCCCTGGGTAGAGGAGTCCAGGGGATCCCAATGTCAGCACAGTTGAAAACATCTGTGCGTTCTTTCTTTCCGACGAGGAGGAGGTTGGAGACAGGCTGGGCCAGGGCCGGGAGAGAAGAGCCACCCGCGTCGATGCTCAGCTGCTCTTAATCCATAAGGGCTTCACCCCCTGTCGCCGGCCCCCTCTCTCGGAGAATGCGCTTAGCACGAGCTATGTCATGAGGCCTGGGCGCTGTCGTGAAGCAGTATCGGAACTTCATGCGAGGCCGACTCGTAATGAGCAAAACCAATTGATCACCAGAGGGGTTACCACACCTGGCGGTTGGTAAGACGTCGTGACCCTTCGGATCTGCGTGAGGGGTGCCACCGAATTTTGCAAATGTAGCAAATCCCTTATGTTTTTGGATCCTGACCCTGCGGATCTGCGTGCGGGGGGCCACTGAATTTCAGAAATGTGGCAGATCCCCTGAGTTTTTTGACCCTGACCCCGCCGATCTGCGTGAGGGGTGCCACCGAATTTCAGAAATGTAGCAAATCCTTTGTGTTTTTGGACCCTGACCCTGCGGATCTGCGTGAGGGGTGCCACCGAATTTCAGAAGGGCTGCAAATCCTGTGTGTTGTCGGACCCTGACCCTACTGATCTGCGTGAGGGGTGCCACCGAATTTTGCCCATGTGGCAAATCCCTTTTTTTTATCCCTGACCCCGCCGATCTGCGTGAGGGGTGCCACCGAATTTCAGAAATTTGGCAAATCCTTTGTGTGTTTTGGACCCTGACCCTACGGATCTGCGTGAGGGGTGCCACCGAATTTCAGAAATTTGGCAAATCCCTTATGTTTTTTAGGACCCTGACCTTACGGATCTGCGTGAGGGGGTGTCGCCGAATTTCAAACATGTAGCAAATCGCATATGTTTTTTTACCCTGACCCCGCCGATCTGCGTGAGGGGTGCCACCGAATTTCAGAAATTTGGCAAATCCTTTGTGTTTTTGGACCCTGACCCCGCCGATCTGCGTGAGGGGTGTAAATTGTTACCCCCCCAGAAATTCTGAGAGCCCTCCCAGGGCGTAGTAGAAATACCCGTTTTGGGCTTCCCCCCCTCGTGCGGTCCATCAACAAGGAACAGTAAGCAGCAAGAAGTCAACAAGGAACAGTAAGCAGCAAGAAGCAGAATTGTAATAGTGGAAACTGGAAGCTGCAACTGGTACAGGAAACTGCGAACCTTAGCCCTACAGCCTGGTGGCCCCACAAGGGGGCTGGCGGATTCATGCTTCGCTGGAGTGGCCTTTGGTGCAGGCCCTCAGTGGTTCACCTCAGCACTGGCTTGCGCGCTTGGGTTCGCCCCCCCTCCCCGCGACTCCCTGAAGCCGCGCTCCAGGTCACTCCTGCCAAGTGTCACTCTTGCGTGTAGGCGAGTTGCCTGGAGGGGAGGGATCGAGGAAGATCGATGCTGAGGAGGAGGAAAGAGATGGAGACGGATGAGGATGAGGAGGCGGAGGAGGAGGCGGAGGCGTCGGCGGCGGCGGCGGCGACTGCGGCGGCGGCGGCGGCGGCGGCGGCGGCGGCTAGAGCGCGCGACGCGCCGCGCGCGAGCGAGCGCGGCCCGCGGCGATCGATGGGGCAGCTCGATGCGGAGCCCGATTTTCTCGACGCCGACGTCGGCGATGCATCGCCGACGTTGCCGATGCATCGCCGATGCATATGCGTCGGCGAGGTTTCGCCATCCTTCTCCTCCTATCTGTTGTTGCGCATCTGTCTCGCATTGCATGTTGTCCAGGCACGCCAGGTTTCCGAGGCCACGGCCTCGGTCGCCCGGTCTCGAGTAGGCCCGGACGCTGTCCGCAACGGTGGTCGCTGCGCACCGCATCGCACCGACCACATCTACGCGGACCCCATCTGGAAGGCCTCTAGCCTTATGATGCTCCAACCTACTTTAGCCTTGACCACCAGAAAGAGTTTCGAGCGCCCAAAAATGTACCCAAAAACTGAAGGGTTTTCACGTGTCGGGCCCTGGGAAACGATTGCCCGACACTGTTTCGACACTCTTTCGACACTTTTCCGGGCGCTCGAAATTATTTCTGGGATGCGGTCCTCAAGTAGGATGGGGACAACATAAATCTAGAAGGCCTCTAGCCCTGGCTCCGAGAGAGGGAGCTCGATCTTGGCCTCCACAGAGATCGGACCTGCACTCTCGAGCCTCCTCTCTCTCCTCCCCCCTCCACTCCTGCCTCCCTCCTCCCTCCTTCGACCCGGACCTGGTGGGCCCGCACCCTGCAGGCCTACGAGAGCTCCGGGGGCGCGGGCGGCGTGCTTCAGATGATGATGACCATCATCACCGACGCCGAGGCGGAGGCGGCCCCGTCGTCGGCGTCGCTGCGTGTGAGGAGGGGAGCGGTTCCCCCTTTGGTGGTCTCTTCCTCCACGGCGGGACAGGCTCGCCGTTCCCCTTGTGGTGGTATCTTCCTCCTCTTTCTCGTCCTTTTCTTCCTCGTCCTCTTCCTCTTCCTCTCGCCTCTCTCTCTCTCTCTCTTTTCTTCTCTCCTCCAGTGTGGCGTGCTTCTCTTCCGCACGCCAGGTGAGGAAGAAAGCGGCTTTCAAGTGCAACCGCATTTTCGCCCGTGCCCCGCACGCGTGCTGTTGAGTCCGAACAGACGCGCTCGTTCGTGTGGCGAGTGCGCAGAGGTCGAAGACTGTGGGGTCCCGGATTGGTGGCAGGCACTGGCGAGCAGTGCAAGAAAAACACGGAGCGGGAGCAAGACTAGGCGAAAGTTGTATATGCGCACATTGTTTCCTCCTGCGCTGGAACATCACATGGGAATGATCATCCAACATATTCGATAGATTTCGTTTAACCATTCGCATATGTTCGCCTAGCTGTGCGAAAGATCGCAGGGTGGCATCACTACATAGGGTAGCACCACTACACAGCGTGACATCCCACAGAGTGGTATCCCACAGCGTGGCATCTCACAGTATGACATTCCACAGCGTGGCATCCCACAGCGCTGGATCGGCACACCGTGGTCCTCCCGACTACTCCCTCCAGCCTCTCTCCCCCCCTCATTCGCCTTCCCCCCTCCCTGCTGATGTTCACCACCCTGCCTGTTCATCCTCGCTTTACTTGCCACAATCAGTCCAATCATATTCCTCGTCCTCATGCTCATCCTCCTAATCACCATCCCTCTCCTCGTAAGTACTGTTCCCCAGCAGCCCTATCGTGCTCCATCCCGTCTTCCTCATCGTCGATCGTCATTCCCCCTCATCTTCGAGCCAGTGTTCCCATCCTTGGATCCCTCCCATTTCCCCACGCTGCCCCCCCCCCCTCTCCCTGGTGTGGAGCACCCGGAACTGGAACAGACGATGGGAACAGGTTTGTCTCTCGGGCCGTCTGTGCCTCCCGCCATCGCGCCTGTGCCGTCACCCATATCCTCTTAGATGGGACCTCTTGAAAGGCCTGCCCCTTGGAGGCCTCTTGGCGGCAGCCTGGGGAACTCCGGGCCACTTGGGGGGCCTCTTGAGAGCCTGCTTCTTGGACCTCTTCTCGATCCGTCTTGGCCTGCCTCGGGGGTATCGGTGGCCGCCTTGGGGCTGATCGGCCGATCGGCGGCCGAGCAGCCGATCAGCCGACCGGCAGCCGAGCGGCCGATCGGCCTTATCGGCAGATCGGGTGCTCGGTCGCTGTTCGCCCGGTCGGCCGATCGGCTGGGCTCGGATACCATCCCGGGGTGCCGTCGCCCTGCCTGCCTGGTGTGCCACCTGGGATTCCTTCGTGGGTCGTCGGGGGCCCTCTTGGAGCCACACTGGGCCACCCCGGGCGCTGCAGCGCGTCGCGAGACCCTGGTCGCGGCCGGGGAGGAGGCGGAGGGGTGAAGCCCCCAACGGGAGCGACACGGGTTATCTCGGCCACTCCTTCTTCTTCCTCATCCTCCTCGCTCCCTCCTCCTCCCTGCCTCCTCCTCCTCCTCCTCCTCCTCCTCCTCCTCCTCCTCCTCCTCCCTCCTCTGCCATCTCTCTTCTTCTGGGTCGGTCGGGCGCGGCCGCGGCCGCCCTCCGCCCTCTCACACCACACGCGCAGCACGCGAGGCTGAATTTCGGCAGAGGTCGCCGTCGGATGGGCATCCCCCGGAGGCCAGCACGGGCCCCGCGGGTGTGCGGCGCTCGCAGGGTGCGCCACGCGCGTGTGCCACGAGCGCGTGGCGCACCCAGGGTGCGCCGCGCACGCCAGGCGCGCCTGGGCCGCCAGCTGCGCCAGGCGCGGGAGTGACTCCTCCCCGCCCTCCTCGTCTTCTCCTTCGACCTCCTCCTCGCCCTCGTCGTCGTCCTCCTCTCGCTCCTCCTCCTCCTCCTCTCGCTCCCCCTCCTCCCTCCCTCTACTCCTCCTCCTCCTCCTCCTCCTCCTCCTCCTCGCTCCTCGCTCCTCCTCCTCCTCCTCCTCCTCGCCTCCCTCCTCCTCGCTCATCCTTCTCCTCCTCGCTCCTCTCAGGCGATCGCAATTATGGATCAAGAGGGCGTGGACTAGCGATGGGTCCCGTTTCCACGGGGAATCGCGGATTTCTGACGCCGAACGAGGCGGCACCGGCCGCACTTCGGGGAGGGCACCTCCCCCGATCCATGGATTTGGCGACCGCGCGCCAGATCCATGGATCGCTGATCCATGTTTGCGCGCCCCCGATCCTCGTGCGCCGAGTGCACCACCTGCTCTGGCCTCGCCATCCGCACCAGGTGCGCGAGGCGCCCAGTGTGCGTCAGGAGCGACAGCGTTATGATCTTCCCACCTACTTTAGCCTTGATCACCAGAAAAAAAACGAAATCGAGCACCAGGCAAGTACCGAAGCTCGAGGGTTTTCGCGCGTCGGGCCCTGGGACACACCCCCGTTCGACACTGCTTCGACACTGTGCTCGACACTTCTCCAGGTGCTCGAAATTACTTCTGGGATGTGGTCCTCGAGTACGATGGGGCAACATACAGTCGGGGCCCTGAAGAAGGAACCCTTTTCGTTGGCGAGGGGCTCCGCGTTCCTTCAGTGTTTCACAGCTTGCCTCAGGTTTTCCTTAGATTTTCGATGGGAAGTCGAACTTTAACTGACGGGAAAACGGGGCCTCGTTCCTTACTTAGGGCTCCTAAGGCCAACGTCCCGACCGTAGCGACAGCGCACGTGGCAGCACACGCCGGGCACCCTCGCCGACCCCCGGGCCACCCGCGTCAGGCTCCGCGGCGCGGCGCGGAAGGCGGGGCGGGGGCGGCACGGGGGGCGCGTGCGCGTGCCCCCGCAGCGGGGAGAGCTGCCTCTCCCCGCCAGGCCCCTGTCGAAAAAAAGCAGTGCGGAGTGCCCGCGCCTGGCGGTCACGATCCAGAGGCTCTGCAGGGGCAGCGACAGGGGGGCAGGCACAGGGGGGGACGGCACCGACCCCCACTCGCCCAGTGATCGCCGACAAGGGCCCGATCGCCCCAGCCCGCCCGGGAAGGTGCGGAGTCGCGATCGGGGGCCTGTCGCCGCTCCGTCGGCGATGTATCGCCGATTCCAGGTCGATGCATTCCCCCCCCTGTGCTCGGTCCCCCCCTCCTCGCTGCCCCCCAGTTCTGCCGCTCTCGGCACTTCGTGTTGTCTCTGTTGGCGGGAGTGCTGGTGTGGGCTCGTGTTTCCTGGGTGGCGGCCGGTCGAGAAGAGGGGGGGGGGGGCGTTCACCAAGATGAAGAACGATAAGGCGAGCCACGGGGTTGAAAGGACAAATCCCCTGATACGCTTACGCCCAGAGTGCTGGTGGGACTATCGCACCCCGTCTGTTCTGCTCCCCCTTGTTTCTGCTCTCTCACCTCTCTCTCTTGCTCTCGGTCTCTCGTTCTTTGTTGGTGTTTCTCTCTCTCTCTCTGTCTCCCCCTCTTATTTCTTTATTCAAGTCATTAATTGTTTCTCTCTCTCTCTCCCCTCTCTCTCTCTCTCTCTTCCCTCTTTCTCTCTTGCTTCTCTTTCCATTATCCCTCTCTCTCTCTCTCTTTCTATCACTATTTTTGTTGTCTCTCTCTCTCTCTCGCCTTCCTATCCCTCTTTCCCCTCGGCCTCCCGGCGGCACTGGCCCCTGAGGAGAAGGAGCTGGACGTATCTGAGAACGCCGCCCAGAGGCGGTACGCAGAGTTCGTCACCGACGCCACCGCCAGCATCGAAGCGGACCGTGAAGCCATCACGGTCCGCCATTTCCAGAAGGAGGAGAGGGGAGGAGGAGGAGGAGGAGGAGGAGGAGGAGGAGGAGGAGGAGGAAGGCGTGGGAGGAGGAGGAGGGAGGATGTGAGAGGATGGTTTTCGATTGGTTGGGATGGTCTTGGCAAGTTCTAGTGGCATCTTCCTCCGATTCCTTCATTTTATGTATTTGCCTGCTCCCTTCCAACTCTGCATGACCTGCTTCAGCGAGCATCCTAAACCCTCTCCCTGTCTTCATAATCCTTTCCGAGACGTTCCAGAACGTCCAAGCCAAAGCCTGAATGACGGTTTGGAATCCCAGAGGTCAATCTTGATAATTCAGGCCGAGGTTGCATCGCCGACGCTCCATTGTTGATGTTATGGACCTCCAGGCTCCAGGCACAAGGCAGAGGAGGAGGACTAGGAGTAGGAGGAGGAGGAGGAGGAGGAGGAGGAGGAGGAGAAGCCAAAACGGAGAAGCGAGGCGGAGACGGGGGAGGAGGAGAAGGAGGAGCGAGGATGAAAGAAGAGGAATGAGTGCAGAATGGTGAAGAGGATGCGAGGACAAGGAGGAGGACGAGGAGGAGGAGGAGGAGGACCGACGATGTCGGCGACGACGACCATTGTGACCAGCATGGACAAAGCGACACTGACGTTGAGCATGTAATCATTGAAGCCGAGCTTCCTAACCGCTTCTCGTTGCGCTCGCTCCCTCCACGCTCGCTGCAAAAGGGAGGCCGCAATGCTGGGGACGTTGAGGTAAGAGAATGGGTGGCTCCCCTGGGGTCCCTGACGACAAAGGGGGGTTCGAATTCCCACCCTACCCTAGCTAGCGAACGCATCGTCGCTCCGACAGGGCCTCTAACGGAGCACCACTTCTGGGGAGGGCTCCACCACATCGCCGCCGCTAAGCGAAGAAGCCTTGGACAAAGCCCTCCCGAGAAGTGATCACCACCCACCAGAACACCCCAACCCAACCCGAAGGGCCCAATGTGGCCTCCATTCCCAGTGTGGGGGGGGGGAACATGGAAACGCACACACACATACACACACACACACGATCATGAAGCCCGTACCGCCCCCAACCCGAAAGTTGGGTCTTCGGGCTGGGTTGGGGTGGTCTGGTGGGTGGTCAGGCGAGGGCCGGTGGGTGCACGCGCTGCCCTCCAGACCGCGGCCCCCCCGCTGCCCGTGGGTCGCTCGGAGTGCAGCGGAGACCCATGCCAAGGAGCAGCCTGCTCGCCTCGCTCGCCGCCAGGAGCAGGCCCCCCCCCGACTGGGCCTGGCTGCCGTCGAGGTGCCGGCGCCGGGCCCCAGCTGCTCTCGCAGTCGCAGGCCCTGCTGCAGCTGCCCTCCGCTGCGCTCGGGCACCCCGTGCCAAGGCGCTGGCAGGTAGTGGTGCCGCCACGGATCCCACTCAGTGGAGGCCCATGCCAAGAAGCACCCTGCTTGCCTCCAGGGTGCCGTGGGTTTCTTGGGTTTCAATGGTTTTGCCATGGAAGGCGTGGCGTTCCCACACTCCAGAAATCAAGGGGCGTTCTGGGTCCTCAGGGTTGGGTTTCTTGTGGAAGGTTTCTTGTGGACTGGCCTCCGCTGTAGTATTTTTGGATTTCCATGTCGCAACCTACTTCAGGCGCCTTCCTACTTCAATGATCGAGTGGCTCCCTTTCCTCCTTCCTCCTCAGGGGGCGGGCGGGGGCCCAATCTGCTTCCAACCCCTTCCTGCTCCATACCCACTTCTTCCGACCGACGAGTACCCTCAAGAGTACTCTGCACCCTGGGCAGTTCAAGATCTGCCCGCTCCCGAGAGGTGAGCGCCTGCTGGAAAGCCCCGTGCTGAGCAGCTTGAAAGTCTCCGCGCTGGCCTGAGGCGCAGGCTTCCTACCACGGCGTCGCTTCCCAGGCGTGTTGAGCCTGGCGTGCAACGTAGGGCGGGTGTTACCCCCTCGGGCCTTACCTTACGGGCTCAGACATCGACTCCTGGGTTGGCAGCCGCTGTGCAGGCCGTCCCCCCCAAAGTCTTGGCCACCAATTGAAGGATATACGGTCTGCGGGTTACTCCTGCGGGCTTGTGCAATGCGATGCTGCACTCCAATTCCTCCTCGGTGAGGTCAACCATCGCGTCCCCCGCCTTGGCCGGCTCCCTGTCGCCTCCGGTGTCGCTTGCAGAGACGTGCGGGAGGAGGAGAGGAGGAGGGGGAGGGGGAGGGGGAGGAGGAGGAGGAGGAAGGACGAGGACGACGACGACGAGGACGAGGAGGAGGGAGAGGAGGAGGAGGAAGGAGGAGGAGGAGGGAGGGGGAGGAGGAGGAGGAGGAGGAGGAGGAGGGAGGAGGAGGGAGAGGAGAGGAGGAGGTGGAGGAGGGGAGAAGGAGGAGGAGGAGGAGGGAGGAGGAGGGGGGAGTGGGGGCGGGGGAGCGAGTGAGCGAGCGGCAACGGGGATGAGCAGCAGGGAGAGCGAAGGGTGGAGAGTGGAGGATGACGGGAGGAGGGAGGAGACTGGAGGGATGATGGAGGAGCAGGGGAGAGCATGGAGGAGTGTGTGATCTGAGGTTCTCCCTTGGGCTCCGTCACGCCCGCGCATCGGGGTGGGCCGCTTCGGGCTCCTAGGCGAACGAGAAGCTCGTCGCGTCCACGGAGGCGCAGAAGGCGGAGGTGGCCGAGGGTTCGCTCGAACCGTTACTGCACCCGCCGCTTCCGTTGTCCCCCTCTCCTCCTCGTCGTCCTCCTCCTCCTCCTCCTCCTCCTCTTTCTCATCCTCCTCCTCCCCGCTCCTCCTCCTCCTCCTCCTCCTCCTCCTCCTCCATCTCCTCCATCTCCTCCTCCTCCTCCTCCCTCCTCCTCCTCCTTCTCCTCCTCCTCCTCCTCCTCCTCCTCCCCCTCCCCATCCTCCTCCCCCTCCCCCTTCTCCCCTCCTCTCCTCCCCTCCTCCTCCTCCTCCCTCCTCCTCATCCTCCTCCTCCTCTCCTTCTCCCTCCTCCTCCTCCCTCCTCCTCCTCTTCCTCCTCCTCCATCTCCTCCTCCTTCTCCTCCCTCCTCCTCCTCCTCCTCCTCCTCCTTCTCCTCCTCCTGGCTCAAGCAACGCTGGGTCCCTCGGGCGGCGCGCTGCGGCCGCGCGCTGGGGCGCCCATGGAGATCTAAAGTCGCCCGATCACACTGAGCTGCCCGGGATCCTGTTTGAACGGCTCCGGAGTGGCAGAGAGTATTTCGCGAAGTACGGCGAGGCCAGCACGCTGGAGGCCACCCGCAACATTCAGCAGCTCATGAGCCTGATCATCGGCACCTTCTAATCCAACAGGGAGATCTTCCCGCACGAGCTGTTGACAATGCGTCCGATGTCCTGAGTAAGAACTGGTGTGAGTCCATCACGGTCCCAGACAAGCGCGACGCGCGGCCGAATGTCAAAATCAATATCGTTCCCGACAAGGCCAACTCCATTACCACGACCGAGTACTCCAGTATTGGCAGGGCCAAACACCAGCTGATTAACATCTTTGGCACCATCGTCAAGGTCGGCACCAAGCCCTTCATTGAGGCTATTGCTGGTGGCGGCGACAGCTACATTATAGGGCAGTTCGGAGTCGGCTTCTACTCCGCACATCCCGTCTCGGACAAGGCGCGCAGGATCAGCAAGCACATCTACGACGTGCAGTGCATCTGGGAGTCGGGTGCCGTCTTTTCCAGGGTGCAGAATGACACAGATATGTTGTACGGGGAGATCAACAGTGGCACCACAATCATCTGCTACTTGAAGGTGGACCAGCCAGATTTCCTGGAGGAGCGCCGCCTGAAGGATCTGGTCAATAACCACTCGGAGTCCATGGGTTTACCCTGCAAGTCGGCTGTTGAGAAGTCCAACAATAGGGATGGTCTTCATTATGCGGGCGATGAGGTGGATAAGATGGATGAGGACAAGTAAGGTGATGAGCCGAAGGTAGAAGAGGTAGACAAGTAGCCTCTCGACCTATGCGAGCCCAGATGTGCAACAACGTCAAGCTGTACACGACGCGTCTTCATCAGGACGACTGGGGACTGAGATGTGCAGATATCCGTTTCCGTTAGTAATTCCGTCTGGTTGATGAGGCAGTCCTTAGTGTTTCTTTGTCGTTTGTTCTTAGCCTGGTGGATCCAGGGTTGTGTCTCCCAAAACCCCCTTGGAGAGGATGCGGACGTTTGTATTCACCCGTGTGGGGATGCGGATGTCGAATGGCATTTAGGTTCGGAGGCATATGGCCTCAAGCTGCCGCGTCGGGAGGCGGCACCACTAACTCACCCCCAACCGTGCGGTCGTCCTCCTCCTCTTCCTCCTCCTCTTCCTCCTCCTCCTCCTCCTCCTCCTCTCCTCCTCCTCCTCCTCCCCCTCCCTCCGTCGGCCTCCCCATTCGACCAAGTGTGGGGCGGAGGAGGACGGGGAGGGAGGATGCGGAGTGAACGCGCTCTTGGCCATCCCAGGGCCTCCCAGGGAGCCACTGGCGCCACAGCTGGATCTCCGCCTCGAGATCTTGGTCCGAACAATCTCCAGGACAAGTCTGGGAGCAGGTTGTCGGGAGGAGGAGGAGGAGGAGGAGGAGGAGGAGGAGGAGGAGGGAGGAGGAGGAGGAGGAGGAGGAGGAGGAGGAGGAGGAGGAGGAGGGGGAGGGGGAGGGGGGGGGGAGGGGAGGAGGAGGAGGAGGAGGAGGAGGAGGAGGAGGAGGAGAGGAGAGGAGGAGGAAGGAGGAGGAGGAGGAGGAGGAAGGAGGAGGAGAGGAGGAGGAGGAGGAGGAGGAGGAGGAGGAGGAGGAGGAGGAGGATGGGGAGGAGGAGGAGGAGGAGGAGGAGGAGGAGGAGGAGGAGGAGGAGGAGGAAGAGGAGGAGGAGGAGGAGGAGGAGGCAGAGGAGGCTCGAGAGAGGGTAATGAGGATACAGGAGGGCGGAACATGTGGCGGAGTGCGTAGAGAGGATGAGGGCGGGCAGAGTAGCAGGGAGGACGCGGGAGTGGGGATGTGGTGGAGGCGACGATTCAACGACGAAAGGGTGAAAGGGAGAGCCGCGCGAGGTGCCGTGGAAGCCAGCGAGCACGCTTGGAGTGAGCTTCCTGGCGGTTACGCTGGCAACGCGAAGTGCGCCGCATGCGAGCGGGCACCTTCGGTGCCCAGTTGGGAAAACTCAGCACGCTAACACCCTTGATAAAGATCAGCAGGCGGCGGATTCTAGTGGTTTTCGGTCCGTCCCGTCGCCGTGCCTGCGTCTTGGAGAAGAGGCTACTTGCATGCATAAACCACCTTGAAGTCAATGCGGGATGGAAGGCTCGAAATGCCGAACTCGAACTTCAGCAGTCTTGCAAGAGGTGGAGTCGTGTGCGGGAAACCCGAATTGAGCTTGAATGTCAAGATGCCGTTGGACTCCTGCTCCCATGTAAGAAGTCTCTATTCCTCGAAGTGTCATTTGGGAGTGGAAGCCTTCTCTGCGGGGTGGAGGGCTGGCAATGTCAGTTCGGGCTTCCCCGTTCCCCCTCCTTGGGCCCCTCTCGAGGCGAGGCCAGAGGCCCTCTTGGGGTAGTCAGGGACGCCTCTCGGGTCTCTTTCTGGACGCTCTCAGGAACGGAAAAAGGGGACATGTTGAGATCATTGCGAAGCCGACGCGATCTGCACGATGAGGGCCTTTTGGGCATCTCGCAGCCATCGAGGGGGCCGCCTTGGAGCGCTCCTGGGCTCCCTCCGGCCCCTCCTAGGCCGCCTCGGAAGGCCCGCTTGGGGGGCCCTCTTTGGCCATGGCATGCCCTGGCTCTGCGGCTTCCTCCCGTCTCCTCCTCCCCCTCCTCCTCCTCCTCCTCCTTCTCCTTCTCCTTCTCCTCTTCCTCCTCCTCCTCCTCCTCACTCTTCCTCCTCCTCCTCCTCCTCTTCCTCCTCCTCATTCTCTTCCTCTTCCTCCTCCTCCCTTCTCCTGTTCCCTCCTCCTCCTTCTCCTCCTCCTCCTTCTCCTCCTTCTCCTCCTGCTCCTCCTCCTCCTCCTCCTTCCCCCTCCTGTTCCCTTGTCCTCCCTTCTCTTCCTCCCCTTGCGACACAGGCACGTGTAAAGTTGTGCGGCTGGCACGCGCAGCCTTCTGAAGACCCCGAGGCTGCACCGGTGCAATCTGACCGGGGCCCCGGGTTACAGCTGGGCAATCTCTTACGCGTCAGGTTGTCCTCATCCTGCCGTCGACCTGGCGATCTCTGGTCCCGGAGAGCAGTCACGCGGGAACCCCCGGGAAAGCGCGGCCGCGCACGGGAATGTCCAGGAATCTTAGGTCTGGGCTTTTTTTGAACAGTATCTGCGACTTTTTATAAGCACTTCACAGCACCCCACGCAGAGAAGTCGAACAGACCTGAATAAACCCACGCGGAGTTTACAGCGCGGTGGTGATTCTATGCGTCAGAGACAGTGTCGTGCTACTTCGATCGAACTCGCGTCCACGTATGCTCGTAAGCGTGCTTCCGTCTCCTCTTCCTCAGGTGACCACCCGAATGGTCTTTTGCTGACGGTAGCGCATGCGACAAACATTATCCATTGGACGAGGTATCAAAGACTCCTAATTATGGCGAATCACCGCCGCCCCTTGCCTTTGTGGAAGCGCCTATGTGGCCGAACGTTGAGGCCAGACCTGCCAAGATATCGGACCATGTGTTCCCCGAATCGATTTGGAAAGCCTTCGGGGAACACGTGGGCATCTTGAAGGTCATGTTGGCCGCCTGAAGGCCATTTTGACCCTTTCGGGCCTTCTTGGAGGACGTCTTGGAGGGCTCTTGGGCCGTCTTGGAGGCCATCTTGAGCGTCTTGGAGGCCTCTTCGGCCATCTTGGGGGCCTCTTGGGGGCCTCTTGGGGCCGTCTTGGGCCTCTTGGGCGATCTTTGGGGGCACTTGGGCCATCTTGGGCCGTCGGAAGGCCGAAACGAAGCAAATGTCAAAATCCTTCAAAAACTCATGGGAAATCAATGATTTTAGCCTTTTCGGGCCTTCCTGGAGGCCCTCTTGGAGGCCTCTTGGGCCGTCTTGGGCCATCTTAGTGCCATCTTCGGCCGTCTTGGTGGGCCCCTGGCCCGTCCAACGCCGTCGGAAGCCGTGTGGGGGGCCTCTCTGAGCCGACTTGGGGCCCTCTTGGGGTGCTCCAGGGCCGTCTTGGAGGCCGTCTTGGGCGTCTTCAAAGCCCCCTGGGCCGTCTTGGGGGCCTCTCCGGGCCGTCTTGGGGGCCTCTTGGGCCGTTTTGGGGCCATCTTGGACGCTTCGTGGGCGATCCTTGGGCGATCCTTAGGGGCTCTTGGGCCGTATCGGGCCGTCGGAAGGCCGAAACGAAGCAAATGTCAAAATCCTTCGAAAACCTGGGGGAAATCAGTGTTGTTGGCCTTTTCTGGCCTTCCTGGAAGCCCTCTTGGAGGCCACTTGGGCTGTCTTGGGCCAGCTTCGAGCCAACTTCGGCCATCTTGGTGGGCCCCTGGCACGTCTGACGCCGTCGGAAGCCGTTTGGGGGGCCTTTCTGGGCCGACTTGGGGCCCTCTTGGGGTGCTCCAGGGCCGTCTTAGAGGCCATCTTGCGCGTCTTGGAGGCCTCCTGGGTCGTCTTGGTACCCTCTTGGGGCCGTCTTGGGGGCCTCTTGGGCAGTCCTGAGGCCATGCCTCTTGGGCGCTGTGGGGGCGATCTTG